CAATATATATATTTGTATGTATGTGTGTTTGTGTTAAAAACACTTTTAGCGTATTTTGCGTATTTGGTATTTTACATTTTAGAATTTGTTGTAATTTGGCATTCCATTTCAGAAACTATATCAAAGCCGTTTCTTTATGCGCATATTTGTTTTTCCTTTATTTGTTCAGCAAACACACAATAATAACTACAATAACAACAACAGTAACAGCAACAGCAACAGCAGAGTGCTGCTGTTAATGGCACGTCGCCTCCTCCCGCACTCTCACTCGCACTCGCACTCGCATTTGCTATTCAGAAGCAAACGCGATGTTACCGTTACCGCTAGTTTCATCTGCGCGCCCAAACCTTACTCTCTCTCTTATTGTGATACAAGCGCTCGCGAACCACACCAGCTAACGTCTGAATCTAAACTGTGCGTCGCTTTTTCCCGACAAACACTGACAAACTTATCGAAATCGATTTGTAACGAACCTACAAATGCGACGACTGCGACGCGTCGCTGGCTGGGTTGCGTATTGAAATGAAATTTCTCGGTGGACGTTTGAATGAAACAAGCACAACGTACGCACACACGAACGCATACTTACATATTCGTGTATATGTGTGTGTATGTACAAATGTATGCACAGAGAACAGACAGCGCCACCACTGCGCTGTTGACGTCTGCAGCGGCAGAGCCGCCACGTTCGGTAAACAGTTGTTTCGTGGAAAAACAAGCCGAACATCATAATGAAGTTGCTGTTGTGAAATTGTACGGTGCTTTGTCATGCTTAAAAAACAACAGCAACAGAGTACGCGCCAAAACACAAAAACGAGGGCAGCTCCACCAATACATACGTATGTACATATGTAAGTGCAATAAAATCAAGAGTAATCATGACATGCGCAAATATTCTTTGATAAGCTGACAACAATACTAACAATAACAATTATAAATATCCATAGTCTAATTATAGTTAGGGTATTTTTAAATAAACGTAGATGACATTTGAATATACATATGTATGTGTTCATTGGGACAAGCAAACGTTTGATAAGCGCTTCTAACAGCCCTCGCACGAACGCTAGTTGCTTCTTGCCACCAACACATGCGCAGCGAGTCAAACAAACAAATAGAATGCGAAGCAGAAATGGCAAAAAATTAAACAAACAAGTAGACAGGAGCGGTTCAGGTTTGGATCCAGTCGATGGAGCAGCGGGTGGCGGCTGCCGCGAGGCTGAGTTGAACGAACGAGGGCAGAAAATAACACTAACAATAAATACACATCTACAAATTTCTACTACGGCGTAGTAAAATTTCTAAAAGCTGATAGAATTTTTGCCTCAATCTGCCATTGCTTAGTTACATACATACATACATACATATGTATATGTTTGTATGTAGATGCAAGTGTATATGTAAGTATTTGTTTAATTTTGTTTGCTCGTTAGTTGAGTTAGTCGAATCGGAGGTGGGTGGGGAGGGGTAAGGGCGCTGTTTTGTGGATGTGTGGTTGCCTGTGCCAGGCAGGTGCTGTGCTACTCTAGCTCTATCGCATTYAGTTGCTTTTTCACTCGCACTCGCACTCGCAGCTCACCTCAGCCTGCTCGCTGCATGTTTGTTTGTTTATCGTGCTGTGTTTTATTGTTGGTGCTTTTGTTGGCGTTATTGCTGCTGCTGTTATTGTTGTTGTTGTTGCTTGGTGCGTAGTTTTTACGTTCGTCATCGTTGGTTTGGTATTTCCGTCTTCTGCTCGCGCTGACGCTGACGCTAGCGCTAGCGCTAGCTTATGTACATATGTATGAAAGTACGCGCTTGTGTGTGTGTGTGTGTGGCATACATATGTCTCATTGTATATCGATAAATGTGCATCACTAAGTATGAATAAATACAATACTTAAACATACTTATAGCATAGAAATGACCATACACACATGCATACTTAAATACACACTTATATAGTACAATATACATGCATACATAGGTATTCGCATACAAACGTACATACATACATGTATGTATTTGTGTACACTTGCTCGCCTTGAGTGTCGCCGTCAGAGTATTTTGCAGTGTTATTCTGCAAATAAAATGTCTTTGTATGCACATATACGCATACATATATGCTGACACACACACACACTCACACATACTTGCATGCATGCATATGCTGTGTAAATTGTTATTGCTTGCGTTAGTCGCGGTAGCAGCGGCAGCTGTTTTGTTTTTGTAGTCGTCAGCGCTGCTTCTGCTGCTTCTGCCGCTGCTGCTACTGCTGCTCAGTCAGCGCCGTTGCCAAAGTGCATTGCGTTTTCGCTGTTTTGCGTGGGAGCCGTAAAAGCTACAGTTCTTCATGGTTTACTGCTAGCTCGCTCTCTTTCACTCTCTCGCGTGCGCAGGTCTCACGTGCGGCTAGCCAACACCCCGTGCAACGGTATATTTATCTATTTCTTACGTAGTGGAATTCGCATTTGATGAAATTTATTTAATCTGTTTAACAATCGAGTGACAAAAAGCTTATTTACAGACTTATTTTGATTAATTTGGGATGGGGAAATTTTTGCCAGTATTTGATTTGATGACATTTCTAAAATATACATATGTATTAGGGTGTTTATTAGCATTAAGTTTGTATATTGAAATATTTTAATTAATTTTATTTACATATATATTTTTATATGGAACAAACTGGCTAGAGGAATAGCAAAAACGCTTCAAAATAAACTGTATATAAAAAATTAACAATATGCTAATATGTATGTATGTATATTGATGATCGGGACAACGAACTGAGCTTAACTTTAAATATAAATATATGTCGGTATATCTATATCAATATAATTTGTTCAGAATATAATCTCTCGATCGTTTTTAGATTAATTTGTTTTAGGCCTGAAGTCTTCTATAAACTCGATTCATCTTCTTGTCTAATAGATTAATGAAGCTCGCTTTAAATATGCGTTATATATAACGGTTTACAAGACGGCGAAATCTAAATATAATAAAACTCGATTAACTTAGTCCATCTAAATTGTGATAAAGGTATATGCAGTATATACAAATATAAAGGGTATATTAATAATATA